TCAGGTCAACCATCACAAGATACTGGGCAGAAGCAAGTGCTGACTGCAAATTGTTTACAAAATTGTATTGCCTACAAAGCCCAAATGCAAAAACACCATACGAATTATGGAATAACAAGAAAGCCCAACCTCTCTCATTCTGATGATACTTTGGGTCCAAAGGCTTTTGCTTACATTCCATAAATCTAAAAAGAGGTAAATTGGATGATACTGCTATAGAAGGAATACTCGTTCGGCTATGACAGCAGAAGTAAAGGCTGTAGAGAATTTTAATTCCTTGGAGATACAAAATTATAATAAGTACGTCAATCTGTACGATTTATTGAAGACACTGGAACTGACGAGCCTGTAAAGCATCTATTTAAACCAGGATGAAGAAAATTCCTAAGGAAGAAAGCTCAGAACGGGAAGAAATAAAAATAGAAGAACCTTGGAAGAGGAAAGAAATATCAGAATTCAGAAGAAAGAACCTTTGGAACTCAGAAGATCGAACAGACTCACAAAAGGTAAACCTCCTGATCGCTACGGATTCCATGCCAAATATCCAAGTCTCCTCCGAACCCAAAACTTGGAAGGAAATTCAAAGTTTGGTAAGAAAATGAAAAAAGGAAAATGGCTAAATAGCTGTTTCGAGAAGAAATTAATTCACTAGAAGAAAACAACACTTGGGAATTAGTTTGATTTACCAAAAGGAAGCAAATGGTCTTTCAAGACCAGTAGGCAATGTAAATGAACGCTCGAAACAATACCAAAGCCAGATTCGTCGCAAAAGGATTTAGGCAGAAGTTTGGATCTGACTATGATAAAACCTTTGCTCCTGTGGTAAAATACAGAACGCTTACGGAGCTCTTCCAAAGTGCAGCTTTCGTATAAAAATGTCATATCAGACATGTCGATGTCAAAACAGATTTCATTCATGGAGAACTAGAAGAAGAAATTTACATGACTCAACCCAAAGGATACTCAAAGGTTGGAAATGAAATAAAGTTTGCAAGCTGAAGAAATCTATATATGGTTTAAAACAAGCCGCTAGAGCTTGGAATCTGAAAATTGGAAAAATACTTCTAAACATGTCATTTAAACAAAGAAAAGCAGACCCATGCTTGTTTTACAAAACCATCAATGGAAAATTCACGTATATAATATTATGTGTAGATGATATGCTTGTAGGAAGTGAAAGAGAAGAAGATGTAATGGAAACAATCCAACAATTGAACGCTAAATTCAAAATTAAAAACCTAGGAGAAGTCACCTACTACCTCGGCATAAACATTGAAAGATTTAAAGATGGAACGTTTGCCATAAACCAAAAGAATAAAATCGAAGAAATAGTTCAAAAGTTTGGACTTCAGAACGAAAAACCAACATATACGCCAATGGAAACAAACTACTGCAAACTAGAAGCTGAAGATGATCTTCTAGTGGATAATACAGAATATAGACAAGCAGTAGGGGCATTATTATATATTGCAACAATCAGCAGACCAGATATAGCATGTGCAGTCAATCTACTGAGTAGAAGAAACGAAAAACCTCGGAACATAGATTGGAATGCTGTCAAGAAAGTCATTCGATACTTGCGCATAACTAAAGACTTTAAGTTGGTCTTTAACAGAATTCAAGAACCTATACTAACTGCATATTCGGATGCAGATTGGGCAAATGACAGAACAACAAGAAAATCCATTAGCGGATACATATTCAAACTAAGAAATAACTGCATTTCATGGAGCAGCAAACGACAAAACTGCATTGCACTATCTTCAACTGAAGCAGAATATATTGCGGCAGCTAATACAGCACAAGAAGCACAGTGGCTGTTAAATTTGCTTAAAGATCTAGGGCTAAAACAAAATCTGCCGATTACTCTCTATGAAGATAACCAATCATGCATCAAACTATCACAAACGGAGAAAAATAGTTCCAGAACAAAGCATATAGATGTGAAATACCACTACCTGCGTGAACTTCAACAAAACGGGATCCTGTGCCCCTAGACTACTGCAGAAGCTCCGCCATGATTGCGGATCTACTCACCAAACCACTAGGCAAGCCTGTGTTCGAGAAACTTCGAGAATCGCTGCAAATGGCAATCCTGCCCATCAAGTAGGGGTGTTGGTATGCATATAGTGATAGACTGTCGCCAATAGCACGATAAACTGTATGAACTGGAAACCCTGCAAAAGAGTTAATTGTGTAACTCTCTTATTCTTTACACTTACTGTTTCTCACTTCTTTAGGAAAGGACAGTGATATGACACTCTCTATTATATAACTCCCTTTTTCAATAAGTATTTGGAATACTAACGAATTTTTATCTATTTTTCATGTATTAATAACGAATGTGTTTTGTGATCTTACAATTTCCGTCTACACCTATTTTGAATTACAAGTTAATTAGGTATGATCTCGCTTGATGCTGTGCTGGATACAAGGTAAGAAGAATCATTTTGCTCTCTATTTTTATTAATTTGTTGTGAAATTTCGAGGCTATAAAATGTTTTACGACACTGAGAACAGTTTGCAACTTTATGTGTATATGCACATCTATCCCCTATCTGCTCATGTTTCAGAGAGGGAACCAGTCTTAGTTAATATAATCTCTTCTTTAACCCCTTCGCGCCGACTGTCACGTCTACGTGCCAGCAACGAACACACTCACCTACCGGCCGACACGCGGGCGTGACAGAGCACTTTCCCGTTTACTACCTAATGTCATGTATTTGTGCCAGCGTCCTGGAACGTTTTTTTCAAACTATAATTTTCTGCTACAAGATGGCACTGTATGTCTATATGGTTTCAGATACATGTACATTAGACCTTCTACTCAAAATGAGAGAAGCATGACTCACATACATGTGTTTTTGATTATATAAACAAACGGGGAACTAAATGTTTCCGAATGGCGTGATTTATGACGTCTCTTTAAACGCACTTTATTCGCACGTGGTAGTTGTTTATTATAAGTAGAAGTTTTATATGTGCTAAAGCGTTGAGTATTTCAGTTTACAGTTGAGTTTTTAGAAAATAATTATATCTTGTTAGACGTGAATTCTTTCTGTTTTTCGAAGTGTCGAAAATGTTTAACAGAGCATGAAATAGCAGAAATGATGCAAAATATTTCAGATATTGATTCTGAAATTCTGTATTGATTTGGAAAGATTAACTGAAAGACATTTTCCAAAACTTTGTTCAGAAGAGACTGATAAGAAAATGAGATGACGATGCTTCATTTGTTCACATTCCCGGAAAAATCCTCCAAAACGGCAAATGAGTTATTATGAGTTCAAGGAATGCAACGTAGGACTGTGTGTAGATCCCTGTTTTCAAATTTTTCATACGAAAAGAGAATTTTAAGTAATATATTTAGTTTTCAGATGTATAATGTTAAAAGTCATAAAATGGTGAGTAATTAAAATAAAATGTGTAAAATATGCATTTAAACAAGAAATAAGGTAATTAAAATATATATATAAATATATCTATAAAGCATAAGCCGTTTAAATACTCTATAGAGCATTATTAAACAATGTGTTGATACTTCGGAAATTTCATGGATTTAGGCTTAGTAGCAAAAAAGCTCCCCGACCCTGGAGAGACGCTCGTGGAAAGACACTGCCGGCTTCCGCGATAAGCGCGTTTTCGCTACCCGGCTCGAAGGGGTTAATCCCGGGAAACACTTCCTCATTTATAACCAAAGAACTTGTTTCCAGTGCCTCTACAGGGCTGCTTTAGTTAATAATATGACAAAGGTATTCTGTTCACTTTCAGCTCTAGTTCCGACAATGAGATTTACAACCAGTGTCTGATAGAAAGTAGGGAAGGGTATTCACACCCCCAAGAGGGTCTTGGTTCTCACTTCACTGGGCAAAATTTCTGCTAAATATGTTTTACTGAAGCCCTATATAACTGAAAGATAAATGAATGAACTACAAACAACTTTTATCGGTAACCAACAGTTTATTCTAGATATGAAGAAACAATCTTTTGCCAGTTTGAATTTTATAACTGGCAGAGATGAGTTCAATAAATAGTGATTTTTCTCTTGATTAGTAATATTTGTTTTGGTTTCTGGAAATTTAAATGCAATAAGTGGCTGAGTTTATTAACCAGTGGGCTTAATGAGGGGGTGGATACTGTATATAAATTTTGTAGGCACTATTTTTTCTCTTCATTTCTATTTTTATTTCTAAACTCTTCAAAATTTTATTTTAAAGTAAAATTTTGCTTCTGTCTTAAAATGTTTTACATTCAGTTGCTTTATGCTCCTTTTTATGAGAAACTTCAAAAATGATTGTTCTCATCTACAAGGCAATGCCATAATTCAAATATGTGATGGATGGGAGAACACATTAAGAAACTCCAGATATGACATTCAAACAAATGTTTTGTAATTTTATTACTGAAAAAGTCTCTGATAATTAAAGCATAAGATAATAAAACAGAATTAAGAATAATCTCAAAAGTATAATATTTAGGAACAAACATTTTGTTCCAGATTTTTTTCATTTAGAAACACTATTGTTTCCACCTCAGAATTCACTGAAGAGCAAATTATACATTGACTACCAGATTGCTTTAAAAATTTAAATGAAATGCATAAGTCAAAAGAAAGCATAATAATCATATATGCTATTTATTTATCACCTATTAAAAATATTAACAGAGAGAGGACAAATTTTATCAAATTATAGATTAAAGCAAGCAGAAATAGTAATTAATTGTATCTGACTAGATCATACTGCTACTTTGGAAGAAAACTGGCATAACTCAGAAAATGCAACTGTTTGCTAATATCATAACCAAAACGAAAATGTCGTACATTTTTACTTTGAAGGATATCACTAACATTTATTAGTTACACCTTCCATATTCAGTTAAACTTCATTTAAATCTTCTTTAGGATTTTTCTTTAAACTAGTGGTTTTTGAGTTGGTCTGCTTTTCTTCCAAAGCAGCGAATGTAGATAGAAGACTGACAAACACAAAAATATGTACTACCTTTTGGATAACCTGAACTGCCTCTGTTGGGCTGTGCTAATCGTGGATCTCTGAAATCAGGAGGAGCCTCAGTTAAGAAATTGGAAGGAACAAGACCCCTCTCACCATTCAGTTCACCCATGTAGAATCCATCTTCATCAGCTTCTCCATAAACACTGATGACATCACCTGTTCTAAAGGCTAACTCCATCTGAAGATATAATGAAAATATGTAGTCATTAACTTACAGTAATGAGAAATCTATTCAGTATACTTAAAAAATTAACATTTTTAATGAATGCACACAATAACGTAGTAACATAATGCAGTTTCTGAAACATACAGTTGTCTTTCTTCTTTTATTTAATTAGAAAAAATAATAAATAAAATCTTAAAAAAACAAAGAAAATATAATAACCTTGCACATTTATAATCAGAAAAATAAAAGTAATTAGATTTTAAAATGATTAATTTTTCCTTAAAGTAACTTTACTTCTTTGTTTCTATCAGAAACTAAGCAATTTAATGCTTTGATAAATTTGCTTATTTGACGATGGCAACACATGTTGGTATCTGCCTTGAAGGGATGAGATGCGTTTGTGGATGACTTTTTAATAGAAACTGTTTTGTATTTACGTTACACAAGAGGAAAACTAGGAAAGCATTTATGCAGGCAACATGCCTGCTAGGTTCTAAATCTAGGCTGAACGATAAATGAAATTTAAATTACTTTGCTACTGGTGGGCTACATTTAAGTAAAACTGGGAAATAAGTAGTTATAGGTAAATACTGTCAATTAAAAAATAGAATTATTTCACATATACATTATTTAAAAAATTTCCCTTCTACAGTATAAGTAAGAATCATTAGCTGACTATTAGTATCATTATGCAGCATTAGGATGACTCTTAGTACATCAAGTAACATTAAGTTGTCTAAGAAAAGTGAATAATAATAAATATGGAACTGATAAACTAAATTTAATAACTGCTTAAAGGTACACTCAATAAGAATGTATTTCTTTAGGATATTTTTATCAGTTCATTCTTAAAAGTTATTAAATACAGTACAAAGTCCGAAATCCGGGTGTCCAATATTCAGAATGATTTTTAAATCAGGACCTCCCGACCAACAGAAACTTTTTTTAAATGAAATTTTTGTTGTATGCTTTACGCATGCGCATTTGAAATTTTCTCAGAATAAAACATGTACGTCCCGTTCTTAATCCCATCTCGGCATGCATTAAATAAAATACCTAAATACTGAACAAACTATCATTTATTAACTTAAATCTGTATCAGCAATAATTTGGGTCCACAGCCGCGTTTCTGCTTGGCATGCATCTCAGACCGAATTATTCTACATCGAAAAATTGTTGTTTTTACCGCTACTGAATAATTTACATCCCTCATGCCTACCTGGCGAAGCTTTATTTATTATATTTTGTTTTCATCACAGCAAGGATGACTATCAATACACAGCAGCTTGAGAAATATATCTCAAACAGCAATGTGTACTTTTTTTTTTTTTTTTTTTTTAATATGAACAACTGAATACCAAAGGGCTTGGTAACCATTTATGTTGACATTACACTTGGCGATGATTACAGATTTCGACTAAATGCACTGCAAAGTTTTGAGCGGGTTGACGAGGAGAAATTTAGTAGAAATTTATTTACGTGTGCAAAAAATAGATATAGTAAATGATACTCATAAGCTAAAAGATTACATTTAGTTGCTGTTTGAATTAGGAATAACTGATTTGTTATTCAGATAATCCTAGGACTGGCATCAGAGCTAGTGAGGCCGCACCGGGCGGCAGAACTTTTAGAAGCAGCGAGCAACCAAATTACGAGATGGCAAAATCTTTACAATTTAGGGAAGGCACTAGGATGTAAAATTTAGCGGCAGCAAGGTTTTTAGAACTTAAGACACGTATAGACTACATCGGGCCGAAAAATACTTAGCGCCGTCCTGGATAAGCCTTAAGTATATGTGGAAATGTATTTATTGTAAATGAGATGAGCCTTAAGCATGTACGGGAAACACGTGAAGTACAATAAATAATTAAACTAACATAATTTCCTACGTCAACGTGCGATAGACGCAAGAGAAAATTTGAATGTACAACATGTTTGTAAGTCGCCAATCTCATGATGCTTTACCAATACTACGTAGAGGATAATAGCTATATTTTATCAAAGAATGTATAGGTTAAGAATAAAAGCTTCGCCAAAGCAGGAGTGGCCCGTCAGACCACAGAGGGGAAAATATACTCCAACTTTACTTTATCCAAGCGCAATCTATCCAGCCTTAATACTTTTTTGCGCATGCACGAAATAGCTGTCGAACCGCTGTCAAAGCAGATCCAGCCTTTATATCTTTTTGCGTAAGCACGAAGTAGTAACAATCCTACCATCTACCGCCAAATCATTAAAGTGCTCAAAGATAAAGGTGTGTTTTATAATTGTTATGAGCTGCCAGAGACCAGATATGTAAAAGCAGTCATCAGAAGCCTCCTATCTTATATGAAATCGGAAGATATAGAGGAAGAACTCAGAGAAAAAGGATGTAATGTTATCAAAGTCAACCAAATGAAGCGTCGCTGTGACGGAGAAATAATAAATTTACCACTGTTCCTTGTGACTTGAAAAAGAGAGGAAAAGAGCAATGCCATCTTCCATGAACATTTTGTGCTTGGAATGAAAATCACCGTCGAAGGCTATAAAGGAAGAGCTGGGTTCTTGCAGTGTTTTCGCTGTCAAGAGTTTCACCACTCTCAAAGAAATTGTCATCACGCCCTTCGCTGCGGTGAGGAGCATGAATCTTTCAAATGCAAAAAACGATAAAACCACTCCTCCTAAGTGTGCGAATTGCCTTATGGAAGGACACACAGCAAACTACAGAGGATGTGAAAGATTTCCTAAGACGAAAACTTTCTCCCAACCGAAATTATTCGCATATCGAATCACCACAAAAAAATCATACGCTGAAGCCTTAAGCTCTGGATTAGCCCCTGAATCTCTCATGGCAGCTAAAAAAGTGCTTAGTGAATTAAGGGCAATCGTTTCCATCATCCAGGAATCTGGAATCACTCAAATCTTTAAGCAATTAAATACTGATAAAGCTTCATTTCCTGAGAAAACCCAGCAACATGGATAAAACTACCAGAACTGTGAATCCCATCCGTTCGTCATCTGGAATGCCAATGGCCTCCAGAACCGTTTACACGAACTTCATAATTTTCTACAGTATCATGATATTGATATTGTTGTGATTACCGAAACCCATGCACAACAGTGTCACCGTCTCAGGATTGCAAATTATTTACTTTACAGGTGTGATAGAATTAGTCACCGTGGTGGAGGTGTTTGTATATACGTTAAACGTACGTTACGATCATGTTTAGTTAAGGAAAGCAGAGACTTTAACTATGAACTAGTTATACAGTTTGTATGACTCTACCAGTTTTTAAAAATATTTATTTCAATGCTCTATACAACCCGCCTAATAACAGGCTTAGTGATAACTTATTAAATGCTTTTTGCCAAGTGATATCCCAACCGTGTCCTCGCTGGGGACTTAAATGCAAAGAATACTGCAAAGAATACTGTCGACGATCCAATGCAAATGACAAAATTTTATATAATTACATACTTAATAACCCTATTGTAATTCATGCACCGAATGATTATACTTATCGTCCAGATAAACTCGAGTACTCTGATATATCTCGAGTACTCTGATACTCGAGACATCGCTTTTGTCTATCACTACTATTCCCATTACTACTGAAGTACTTCAAGAACTTTCATCTGACCACCTGCCCGTTATTGCTTATCTGGGAATTACTAAAACTGAGGCTCGTAATCTTAACACAATTACTGACTGGTCTCTTTTTGAAAATCTTATGACTGATCGTATTATTCCTCTCTACATCCTTAATACAGTGCAAGGAATTGAAAGTGCGGTTTCTTCACTTACTGAAAATATTGAAAGTGTTATTGCAGAAGCAAATGACACTAAACCACGTAAAGATAATAGCCTCCGACTCCCTAATTATATTCGCATCAAGATTAGCAACAGAATGAGAAAATCCTATCACGTGACCTGGGATTCACGAATAAAATGCGAAATCAATAAACTTAATAAAGAAATTCAGAAAGACATAAAAAATTATAAAGAAGAATTATGGTGCGAGAAATTAATTAATATTGACACTAGAGATGGGTCATTATGGATATTAATTAATAATCTTAAATCTCACTATACTACAAATCCATAATGGAATACTATAAATACAAATACTACAAATCCATACTCTTACCCATAATGGAGCTCTCGCAGTCACTCATCAGGATAAAGCAAAATGTGTTTGCGACCTTACCTAGAGGAACAATTTACACCCTAATGAATGGCCAAATAATAAGGACTTTGAACATAGCACATTGACTCATGTCAAAGACTGGTTAAATTCCTCCACTGCTAGAAACTTAATTAAATACATCAACCCAGCTGAGATTAAAGAAATTATCAAGAAACTCCATCCCAGAAAAGCACCGGGAACAGATGGCATCACAAATAAAGTTAAGAAATGCCTTCCCAGAAACACTATCGGAATAATAGCAAGTATTTTTAATGCTTGCCTTTCATCCTCATACTTCCTCAAATTATGGAAAACTGCTAGAAAAAACCACTCACAAACTGATGGATACAGGCCCATCAGTTTACTGCCTGTATTAAGTAAAATATTTGAAAGAATTATTCTCAGCCGAATGAAAAATTATTTTCAACTTCTTCCGCCGGAGCAGTTTGGCTTTAGAGAGAAGCTCTCGACTGCAAAACAACTTCTTCGTATGCAGATGATACTGCCTTGGCAGTTAAGTCTGCCAACACTAACTTCACTGTTAAGAAACTACAAGCTTTCATTCCAAATATCGAGTCATGGTGTGCGAATTGGAAAGTGAAGATTAATGCTCAAAAATCTCAATTATTGATCATTCGCAGAAGAAAAAGAAATAAGCAAGTGAAGAATCACCTTCTCCTCTTTAAATGAAAGAATTCCTATAGTGAAAAATGCCAACTATCTCAGAGTCACTCTTAATGATCGTCTTACCTGGACTGACTATATCAACAATGTTCGAACCACTGCACTGAAAATTATCAAGTGTTTGCTTCCTATACTCGGTAAATACTCTAGAATGGATTTGGG